TTGGCTTAAAAGTTATTAATTTTTATATTTGTTTAGCCTAATTTAATATAACTAAATGAAAGAAACATAAATTATTTTATGGATGTTTTTTAATGCTAATACTGCAACATAGCCGCTATAAAGAGATCAAAAATAGTTTTAAAATTTTATTCTCAAAGGGGGTTTATTTCCAAATATTGTGTTAATTTAGAATTTACTTTTAGGAAATCAATCTGAATTACATTTCATTTCTAATTATTATTTGAATGACACATTGAATTATTAATAATTATTTTACTGAATCGCCTTCTTTTACCCATAAAATCTAAATATTGAGCGTATAATATCAGTTTAATCACTTGAAACCTGAGCATTAAAGTAATAGCAGAAAATGCAATTTTTATTGAAATATGTGGCTTAGAAAAAGTAAACTCATAGTTACAACATTAAATATTTGTTGAGAAAGTTCAATTAATAAAACTTAACTATTATTTTTCACTTTTTTTAATTATTGCATAAAAAATTAGTTTAAACTATTAGCTTCTTTTCTACATATTCTAAGATTCTTTAATAGTGTATTTCTTCAGTTTTTCATAAAATAAAATCCATTAAATTCAAATAATAACATATTTCGATGCCAGAATGAAAAAAAAGATTACTCAAATAAAATTTCTTTCCTTTCTGATAATTTTTCATTGTAATACGAAATTCTGACCAGTGGGAGTAAAACCTATTATATTCTTACACAGACAATCGCTTGGTAAAGACTTACAAAAAAATCATAAAATATATAATTTTCTAAGTGATAAAAATTTTACAAATATTGTCCTTCTATTGGACGCTTTGTCTCAATAGGATAGGAATCTTATAAAAACGTATAACATAGAATAATAACACTTTTTTAATCGAGTTTAACTTATTACAAAAAATTAGTTTTAAATAACAATAGAAAAAGAGATGGTTGGTTTATTGTTTCATATTATTATGATCCATTATTATTAACATAATTCATTATCAGTATTATAATGATTTATTATCATTGTTATCATGATTCATTGTGGTTATTATGATTCAGTATGTTTATTAATATGTTTTATCATTATTATTATGTTTCATTATCATTATTATTATGATTAATTATTATTACCTTAATACCTCATCATTATTTTCATGATTCATTATTATTATCATGATACATTATCATCATCATCATTATTATTATGATTCATAATTATTCATGATCATTAAACTAATCTTAATTATTCTCGCCGCACTTGAAACTTTTTTTTCGCATTTTTTTCTTATAAAACCAAATGTAAATAAAACATTTGTTACTGGCTCTTTCGAATCTTTGAACATTTTTCTTATTTGTTTGCCAGAGTTTTATGAATTCATTTTCTTTTATGTATCAGGGGTTGTCTTTTCTCTGTTTTGAAATACAAAACGCAGGCTGTTACAATTCTTCAACATCTTGCATAAAAATACAAGAAAAGAGCACAAAATCGTAAAACTTCTTTTACCCCCATTCTGCACCTAGATCAACTTCTTTACTCTATTAATATGCTTACAGAATTTGCTTGCACGTTAATTTGCTTACGATTATTCACCATACATAATCTATTTGTTTATACACGGATTCTTTATTTTTATAACTTTGTTTTCTTCTCTAAGTCCCCGATAAGATCAACGTAACATACTCTAGATTATTTATACGTGTCAAAATAAAGAACCAACCTTTTAAGAATTTTTAACTTAACTTTAACTTAATTTTTTCTGGTGTAGATTTGTTTGAACTTAATAAGAAGCATAGGTTCTCAATGAAGGCTTTATCACCCTCCAGTGGGCGGGGAAGATTCTTAGGGGACGTTAAAAAAGTTTTCGCGTATTTAAGGGGTGTTAGGTAATTCTACTGACTCGTTAACAAACTGCGGGTGAAATTAGTATTGAATATGAGAACACGCTAAAATTCAGAATTTTTTGGTTTCTATCGACGAATTATTTACATTTCTTACTCAGTATATAATATTTGTTATTAAAATTGTTTGTCTTAAAAAAAGGGTTATTATTGAAATATAATTAACTTTGGACATCATATTCTTTTATTATAAAATATAAGGCTAGTGTGCCAAAGTGAGATGCTCCCTAAACGTGACAATGTTCTGTCACTATACACATGGCATCAATTGAATATTGAGCACACTAGTCAGAAAGCTGTTGGAAATGTGATTGGCGATAAGCGAAAATAGTGTAAATTGTTATGGATTTTAATTTCCATTTGGCAATAATATGTCGATAAATCCTGCTTGCTATAGAGAGAAATAGTTGAAACTTAATTTTTGTCAAGCAGAAAGGCGCAGTTACAATTTAAATTCAGATTTCAGTTATAAATTAGATACCTAAAAAATTGGTTGGAATCTTAAATGACGATAAATTTTAACTCGTAATAATATGACTATAAATTCTGTTTTTTAGCAATAAGAAAGCAATTGAAATTTGTCATATCATCCAGCACAGAGTTTTGACTGAAATTGTTGACTTCTAGATAATTTTAAAGTGATCTTAGTTTGACGATAAGTTCCTGTCGACGATAATATGATACATTCTACGCGTAGTACTCAAAAGATGTTGATAACTTATATAGTCATCTAGAGTGGAGCTCTTTCAGTTGTATTTTAAGTACTCTATCTAGACTTCAAATGTTTGGAATTTTCATTGACGATTAACTCAATATTTCTTTAAAATGAAGATAAATTATATTTTTAACGTTTGGAAAATGATTGAAGCTTGTAATGTTATCAAAGATTAAGAGTTACTATTAAAATTGTAGAATTCTAGCTAATTTTAAACTGATCATGATTTTGAATGGCGTAATAATAGACAAGGTAATGGTGTTTCGTAACAAAAATATTAAATTACATAAAATGGGAAAATATTAAATATTTATTTATTATTCTTATAATTACTGTTCGTTTTCGCAAGGGAAGGCTGAACGTTTCTTGACTTGCAAGGTGGGTGGTGATTAAAAAAAAGTTGGAAACCTACGCTATAAATGTATGCCTCTAAAAAATGTTTTTTCGTTTTAAAAAATAAAATCTGCATACATTTATAATTTAATTGTAGTATTTTTAAGGAAATTTGATAGCATAAAAAATGTAGTGAAGCGGAATAGTTATGCACGTGCTTAGTAAATAAACCATATACATTTAAGTTTAGTTGGATGTTTACTTTTTCAATACTTGCATTAATTTAAAAGAAGTAAAATGATATACGTTCATGCGAAAATAGATATAGTTGCTTGTATATCAATTCAAACGAGATTTAAAACTTTTATCACAACCACGTTCAAGTTATTTGATTTATGTCAACCATTAAAGTAATTTTTAGTTGTCAAAACAACAATAGTGATTTTAAATTTAAAAACTTATAAATAAAGTAATCTAAATGTCCGTAAACAAACATTTCAAATAATTTTCTTAATTATGTTTTTTTATGTCTATTACATACTTACTAAATTTTTTTTAATAATTATGCAAGGTGACTTTAGAAAGGAAAAGAGAAAAACCTTTTGAATGGAAAGTATTATTTTCGTATTAACTTCACACAAAAAGGAAGCCATTATAATTTGCTAGGAAACGGAAATATTTGCAAGAATGGAAAAATTGCGAAAAGAAAAATATTTAAACAGTTTAAGTGTGAAGTGAACCTGTAAGGAATTAAAAACTGCTTTTATTAGGAGAAAAATTAACGTTTTATCGGGGTTGCTATCATCCACTAAAATGTTAAATGTCCTCGAAACTATTTTTAATTAAACATTTCTCTAAAGCACATCATTTTACATTTTAACTGAAGATTAAGCTAAATAATTTTCACAACACTGAACTTACAGTAATTTTCTGTAGATGAGCCAAAACCAATCAGAATTGGGTTCAAATATTAAGCCTGAATCAAACTAATAAAATAGTTTTTTTTGGGAAAAAATGTATCATAGCAAATTGTTAAGATTTGTATTTGGCTAATAACAAATATATACAGAAATTTACAAAAAAATTGCTCGAAGAGCAAAGTAGAATCCTAAAATAAGAGCTTATAGAGAATCAATGATTTTTTATTTGAGAGCGCAACGAAACACAGTTAAAATAAATTTTAAAACTTCTGCAACAAACGTAAATTTTTTTGCGCAACTGTAGAAGTATCATACTACGTAATTCAGCAACTTGGTATTCCTGAAAGTAGAAATAATGGAAGAAAACTGTTTATACATTTATATTTAGCACCCTAGATATTATAGATATTGTTATAATCAGCTTAAAAATCTAATCCACTAAATTATCGTTGGCGTGTATTATCATGAAACTATTTCAAGTCAAATTAAACCCATCAATTCAAATAAATTTGAATTAATTTTAATGCTACGGATTATCACTAAAATTCTTGTAAATCACTGTATATATTCTACAATTACTTGGGGCAAAAATAAAAATAATTCTTAGAGGAAATACCCATTTTATGTTTTTTTTATCTGACTGAAAGAATCTCCCCAAACTGGTGATTATTATTATTTTTGTTTAATATTTAAGATATTTATTCGTCTATAAGTTCAATCAAATCTTTCCTTTGCTTTGAGTATAAGGAATATAAACTGTGGTTCTTTTAAAATTTCCTTGGCGAAAAATCTTCCAAGATCGCATTTAAAAAGGTAAGAGAATCAAGTATACAAATTAACTCTTCTCTGAATAAAAACAAAGCTAATATTTTTGTACTCCATTACTATTTACCATATTCTTAAACTAATTCAATTTTTTTTCCTACATCATTCAGATGAATGAATGAATCCGGATTAAATTGTTCTTTTTTCTGCTGTGCAAACGAAAGAGCGTGCCACAAACATTTGTCAACTTTTTTCCCACATAACCAATCACTGAAATGCCCGTTTATGGAAAATAACGAGCTTGTGAAAGAGGGCGCAGGCCTCCCTCTGACCATGTAATCCCATGCGCATCATTCGAGTTTCTCACTTTCAAACTAGCCACAAGTAAAGGCACAGTTCATATCCCTTTTACTCTGGAAAAACGCCAAACTTTTACCTTTCTATCTTTTTATTCGAATAAATCCCAGAATATAATGTGAGCAAACTCTTCATAATTTTTCGGAAATTTATTGGACAGGAAGAAATGTTCTTTCCAACTATTTTACGAGATCTATCTTAGTAGGTAAGTTAATTATAACATTTTTCTTAATTAAGAAAAGATTTTTTTATTGAAATTATATTTGAAATAAATAATATTTAAAAAGTTTATATAGGAATTAATTCACTGTTTTGAAAATTTAATATAGTTACAAAATAATAATAGAATAAATCACAGAATATATTGTGAACAAACCATTCCTAATTTTTCCTAAATTTATTGGACAGGAAGAAATGTTCTTTCCAACTATTCTGCAATATCTATCTTAGTAAGTTAATTACAACATTTTTCTCAATTAAGAAAATAATTTTTACATTAAATATACATGAAATAAATAATAATACTTGTAAAGTTTATACAGGAATTAATTTGCTGTTTGAAAAATTCAATGCAATTACAAAATAATATTAATTGAATTAATCCAAGAATATAATGTGAGCAAATCATTCATAATTTTTTTGAAATTTATTGAGCGGAAAGATATTTTCCTTCCAACTATTTTTCAGGATCTATCTTAGTAAAATAATTATAATATTTTTCTCAATTACGAAAAGATTTTTTTAAATCTTAAATCTCTATATGAAATAAATAAAAGATTTTGTAAAGTTTAGAGTGAATTAATTGACTCGTTAAACAATTCAACGAAATTACGAAATAACAATAGTCGAATAATTCCCAGAATATAATGTGAACAAACTCTTCATAAGTTTACTGTGGGGGGGGGGGAAGAAATGCTTTTTCCAGCTATTTCACAAGATCTATCTTAATTAAGTAAGTTAATTATAATATTTTTCTCGTTTAAGTATACTATATATGAAATAAATAATAATATTTATATAAAGTTTATACAGGAATTAATTCACTGTTTAGAAAATTCGACATAATTACAAAATAATATTTAACTGTCCAAGGAATTTCTAGCTCGCAAATAATTTACAGAAATTTTATAACATTTTAACGATAGTTAATTAAATAATTGAACATAGTGAATATAAGGAATTATAGGAAAGTATTTATTGTGAAAATATGATTCGCGATTACTTATAAGCTTCTCCTAAAATTAAGAAATTATTTTTATATCAAAACTATAAATAAAATAAATAATGCCATTTATTAAGCTGATACAAAAAGTAATTATCTGTTTACAAGAATCAACATAGTTACAAATGAATTATTAATTAAACGAGGAGTTTATTACCCAAATATAATTTACGAAATTTTATAATATTTTTACTATAATTTAATATAATAAAATAATTATAAGTATGTACACATAATAAAAAATAATTGATTATTGGTTAGTTATAACCATTCATAAATTAAGAAAATACGTTTTCCAATAAAACTATAAAATAAATAATGCTATTTATAAAACTTAAACAGAATAAATTAGGACTTTTTTCCCATGAAGAAATTTTATTTTATTATTATAACTATAAATGAAGGAAATATTATTATTTATCAAATTAATAAAAAAATAATTATTGTTAAATGATTTGGATCTATTTCGGTAAGTAAATAAACTAACCTTTTTTTAATAAAGAAAATAATTTTGTTTATTAAACTATAAATGAAATGAATAATGCTATTTATAAACCTTATACAGAAAATAATTTGAAGTTCAGAAAATTTTATTTAATGACATTTAGCTGAATAAGATGTTAATAACCCGTAAATAATTTATGTAGTTGTACTACACTTTTAATTATACTTAAACGATTATCTTAATAAGAGGCTTGTAAGTTGTAAAATTTTTAAATTTATTGGTTTATTAATATTTTTAAGAAGACGTCAATTTATTTTACATAAAGAATTATCAATACATTTTGCATTATAAAATTTATTGTCTTCGTTTTTTAACGTAATTAATTGTAATGAGTATCAGCATTATTTGAGAAATACAACTTGTTAGTTACGCGCATTTATTGTCAATCGCACGAAACAAATTTGGAAGAGAAACGTCTAATCACTAAGTTTTTATAGTTGTTTAATAAAGCTCAGAACTTGCTTTAAGAGATTTCTTTGAGAAAGTTTCACGAAGAAGCATATGGAAGGAAACGTTCTTTTTCTAGAAGATTACGACTGACAATAAGTAGATCTGCGGAACTTTAACGATCAGCTTTATGTACTCCTTAAGTTATTTTAGATTGCATACTCATTCCCCTTCAAAAAGTGAATTCGTTTCATTCCAATGTGAAAAATATTTTTATAAATTTATTTTAATTTTTTTCAATGTTGATGTGGTAAGGTTATCAATGAAAATTTCATTTTGTAATGTTGTATTGACGTAATTTTTTTTTGTAAGAGAAGTTTATTTAAAAAAAATAAGAAAGTTAAAAAAAATTTTAAATTTCAAACAGATTGGAATTTCTTTTCAGATTTTTAATTTTGAACTTATGAACAGATTACCGCTGCCCTGAACTTGAACTTTTATTGTTTTTTAACACTGCACTATAACTCGAGTAAACGTTAAAGAAGCAATTGAGAAAAATGATTTGCTTCTAAATAGCATTATAGTTATTTTTGTCTAAGTAACTAAGCGTGTTAGTATAAAACAGGATTTCTCAAACAAAAGTCAACGGCTTGATTGACTTCAAAATCAAAGGGCCTTTTTAAAAATTAGGAAAATTGAATATTTTTATTAAAAAAATTAAACCAGTTGGGAATATTTTCGAAGCAAACTTTGGTGCTTCAAGTAAACATTACTGAAAGTAATTATGTACTTACTTTACAAATTATTTTAATTAAATATTAATTATAACAGTTAATTTCGAGTATGTAACAATGAATTTTTGTAGAAAGAAGGGGATACGAAAAGCTTTTTAGACAACCCCCACAAAAAATTTCCAGATTGGTTTCGTAATCTAATTATCTGATTTTAAATTAAGAGAAATTAATATTTAAATTTTCTTTAATTAATTTGAAAAATTTTAAAATCAAACTTCAATGTGTTTCAAATAAACGTAAAATATTCGTGTGTGTGTGTGTGTGTGTGGGGGGGGGGTTAATGTATATGTTTTTAAAAATCATGTTGATTTAATGTTTATAATAATTAATTTTGCTTAAGTAACTGAGTTTTTCTATAAAGAAGGTGCTCACAAACTTTTTTTTAGCCGTAACCTGAAATCAAATACGTGATTGCTTTTGCAATCAAAGAATCTTTTAAACATTAGGAAAATTAAATATTTTTTCAATATTTTTCGAAAACTACTTCAAAGTATTTTAAAATCAATCTTTTATACTTTGTATATACATAAAATAGGTTAAAACAAAAACAGAATAACTTAATGACACTTTATGACTTAATGACTTTAAACTTAAGATCGAAGAAATAAATAAAGCATAATGTAACGTAATGAGTAAAAATCCAAAAGTTCATAGTCTTACTGCTGTTTCGATGTTGAAAACAAACTTCAGTTTTCACAATTTCATAGTTTTCAGACTAAAGAAACTGACACAAAGTTTAAGAATATGCACTAAAACAATTAGAATTTTAATTCAAGAACAGTAAATACTTTATCAAAAATTAATTACTAATTTCTTTTTAAATTACTATTTCAATTTAGCTAGTTAAATAAGACATTTTGATGTCCTCTATTTCATATTTAAGTTACGTTAAAATTTGCAATTAAAATTTCGTGTCTGTTAAACAACGATTTAATAATTTGAAGCAATTAATAAAATATATTGGACATTAAAAGTTGAGTTAAATATCAAATTCTCCCGAGTAAAAAAATTTATTCCTAAAAATGTGTTCCAAAAAGTATATTTTAGGACACACTATTGTTGGAATATTTTAGAACATCTTATTAAGAATGATTCCCTCTTTAAATTTTTTCCAAGATCCTTAATCTTAAGAGCCATTCAAATAACAGATGAAACGTATTCCTTCTTTACAATTAAAAAAATTTTTTTTGTGACTTCACATAAATTTAACAAAATTAATGTACTTAAAATCAATAAATACATAACTGAATTAACCAACTATGAAAAAATCAGCAATTATACGTTGTAATAAATTTTTTAAAATTAAAATGTAACTAGGGGATTGAACACTGTAATTATTATTGAAATTTAGTTCTTTCGGAATTTAAATTAATATATGCGTTTGCTATTTGCAGCCATAAAAGACGTTAAAATAAGTCATTTTTCTGTACTTACGTAAAATTAAGCAAAAGAAAAATCAGCTGAATAGTTAACGAATAACTATACTGTAAACAATACCGGATCAAATTTAAAAATTTCCCGGCACTCAGAATTATAATTATTATCCCCAGGCTAAATAATTATTACTGTAAAATATACGGTATAAAATTTACTGTAAAACTGTACTGCATTATTTTAATTGTATGCTATTGTATTACTAAAAAAATATAGGGTATTTTTTAATGTAAATTCCATTTTTACTAAATATCTGATTTACCGTAATTTTATACTGTAATAATTACCGTAAAATCACTGAGTCATTCTAATTAAATGAGTATCACTGTAAAAATTATGGCATAATTTTTAGGGTAAAAATGTATTTTACTTTAAAATTAATTTTACGGTTAATGCACCCAGGGTGCGGACACTTTTTTGCATAATTTAAACCAGAATTTTTCACAGTGCAAAGTGTAAAATAATAAACGTGAAAGAAAATGGAATGATACGCTTCACAGTATTGTGTTATAAAACAAAATAATTGACCCTGATCATCCAGATAATTATCCGAAAATATATTTATAATAAATATGAAAGAAAAAAAAACTTGAAAAAGTTATCCCATAAGAATGCTTCTAAAAGGTGACAATAATTTAGTAATTTGCGTTTTCTAATTGATTTTTTACACTTATATCTATTAAATGTTTTAAATTTAAATATTATTTTAAAAAAACAGTTATAAAACATTTAATGATAAAGAGCAAATAAATACTTAATCGGTTTTATAAAATTATTTCAAGGAAATCTTGAATTACTTCAAGTTTACTTTTTTAAAAGAGATATTTTTTAAGGTTTCTTTTCATATCTGTTTTTTTTTCAAT